AGGGCCGGGGGGGCGGCGGGGTGCGGGGAGCCATAGGGAAGCTGAGGTACTGGGGGTACTGGGAGGTGTTGGGAGTACTGGACGTGGCTGGCTGCGTGCATGCGTGCCAGAGGCCCTGGGGATCGCAGCATTATCCTGGCAGTAGGCCCTGAGGGATACGGGGAGCAATGATTTGCCCATCAGGCAGTGGGGTGCCACGGTCTTTTGCCCTGGGTGGCACTGCGTGGGCAAGGGCAGGCAGCAAAGTTGGGGTGCTTCGTGCTGCATCCCTGGCAGGTGAGTGCTTAGGCTCCTGTCTGGTGTTTTGTGTGAATGAGTCAAGAAAACCTGCCCCAATGCGAGGAGGGAGGCTGCAAGATTGGCACTAGTGCAGCTTGCTGTATTGCAAATGAGTGCACCGACAAACAAAAATTACAGCTTGGTTTTGGCATTGATGGTTGGGTTGGCCCTGGTTGTTTTGGGGAGCAGCCGTAGCCTTGATCAGCTGCTCTGACTCAAGTGTCCATGTTTAGGGGAGCAGCGGCATTTTCACATCAGGGATGCTGGACTGATCCCACACTGATTTCCTGCCTTGGTGCCTCCTCCAGACAAATTAAGCGGAGCCCTCCCAGCGCAGATCACATCCTCAAATCCAAGGACTCGCCCTCCAACCCTGTGGGACAGAGGAGATGGTGGGCAGGATGCTTACGAAAAGCTGGGACAGCAGTGTGGAGCCCAGCTGTTGTGCTAGCAATGCTTGTTCCCCTTCGCAGTTTTGCAATTGACTGTCCTACAGGTCTGAGAAGTGTTAGTGGGATCAGAAAGTTTAGGAAAGGTCTCAGCAGGTTTCCATATTTCCTAAGCTGCTTGTAGCTATCCCTTTATGAGCAACATAGTCAAGAAGAAAGGTTTTCTTCTTGTGCCTTTTAAGAGAGCTTGAAGGAACAAAACTTCCGTCAAACAAAATAGCAGGATGTGAGCATCATTCCCTCTGTTCACAGGGACTCCCAAACCGGGGGGTGTCAGCAGTCACTGGAGGGTGCAGTGCAGTGCCGCTTTCAAAATGAGTCCCTGCTGGAGCATACCCTTTTATTATCTATAAATATATGGATCGTACTGATCACCTTGCCCGTGGATGCCCTTCGATTCCAGTATTGCCAGCTGAGAGCAGCAAACTTCCATCTGGGAATAACGTTCCTGCTTCCACAGGAGTCTGAGACTGGGGGACGCTAAGCTCTGGCCTTCTGCTGCTGTTCCTTCCTCCTTTTCCTCCTGGCTGCCCCCTGCCAGCAGCCCATCAGCCGAAGATCTTTCCTTGCTATGGAAGATGTCTGGTTTCGTAGAAGACGTGCCCTGTATGAACTTTGAAGCCAACATATTTGCAAAGAGCCTGTGCCAGCACTGTTTCCGAGCCTCAGGGGCTCACCAGCATGCTGTCCAGGTGAGCTCCTCCATCCCACCTGGAGGCTATGAATACTTCATTAAGTGCCCCTTTGTTCCTTGTTGAGACTCCATATGCCTTTGTAGAGATGGAAATCCCTAAGACAAAGGCTCAGCCGGGCTTTCTAGATGTCTTTGGGAGAAAGCTGCATGGGGACAGAGTCTTCCCAGGAATGGGAATCCATCATTTAACCATGCCCAGGCCAGAGCTGGGAGCCACCCTGGCAGGGAAGGGCTGGAGACCAGGTACGAGTGGCTTGGTAGATCCTGGAAGGGAAAGCAGGGGTCACAGATGCGAAGGGGAGACTGGCAGAGCAGGGTCCCATCCTGGATTAATCTCTGCTTGATACCTGCTGGCATTTACAGCCTGCTCACCTAAAATACGGTCCTGGTGGATGTCTCTGTGGCCCCTGGCTGTCGGCTTAGGGCTGGGGCTGAGTCCTGTTCCTGGGGCAGCTGCAGCGAGCTGTTCTCGGAGGGGAAGGCAGGAGGGGAATAAATCTCACGGGACTTCGGGCTCCAGATATCTGGATCCAACACGGTCCTTCGGCACAGGGCTGGACGCACAAGCCGCTGGCTGCCTCTGCCTGGCATATTCACGGAGGGTTTCGTGTTGTTCTCTGTCCTCCAGGAGCAACTGGCCTGGGATGATGAAATAGTAATGAGCCTCCCTCTCTCTTTCTCGCCTTCTCCCTCTATCCCCCTGGCCCCCAGGCCCTCTAAGGTTACCTCAGCCCTTCGCCTGCGATCTGCTCAGAGCTGTCGCCTCTGAGCAAATCCCAGTGTGGGTGAGACGCTGGAGGGGAGGTGACGCGGACAGCCAGCTCCCCCCTGCTGCTCGTAAAGCCCACAGGTAACAGGGCTGGGGAGGATGCTGAGATGCCTGCAAGCCCTGATAGAGAGGCAGAGGCTGAGGCTACAGCCTTCTCTGCAAAAAAAATCGCCCTCCCTCTTGGCTCCACTGCCTCTCCCCGGGCTATCCGAGCGGCGAGGGAGAGCGGCTGCCAACAGCATCAATGCCGACAGGTTGGGGGAGGACAGACGATTTCACTGAGCCCTCATCCGCACGCGCTGTCTCTGGGATGCCTGCAGCGTTCAGCATCAAATAGGAGTGTGCTAGTTCTCTCTGTCCTCCTCAAGTAGGAGAAGAATCTCAACAGTGGGCTGGGTGAAGCATCAAGAGCCCTAGAGGCCAGGCTGCTCTCACAGGAGGTAGAAGAAGCAGGCATTTCTGAAGGGCAGCCTTCTTCCTCATCCTCGACACGCTGACGGCACGGTTGCATCCCCTTCTTCCTCGCAGGAGCGTGCCGTGGAGGTCGCAGGGCGCGATGCCGGCAGCAACGCAGACCCAAATGGGCCCTGGGACGCCCTCCGCATTTTAGCCCCCCAGTGCGAGGTGTACGTGTGCGTGGGGCCAGCGGAGGGGACGGAGCGGTGAGTACCAGCCGGGAGCTGTGCTGCTCCAGCGAGCCCCCTCGGTGGGAAGGATGGAGGAGGGGGAGCGGGAAGCTGAGCAGGGGGAAATCGGATGCCTTCCCGCTGATACTCTGCACACCGGTGCCTGGGAAAAAGGGCTGAGCAACCCCCATGACATGCCCTCTAACTGGTTTCCTCTTGGCTGTCCCAGGAGAGGTCAGGGGGCCACCAAAAGAGTCTCCTTTCTCCTTGCTACCTCTAGAACAAGGCTGGTGGTCCCAGAAAGGGCTCTGCCCATCCAGTGGAGAAAGAGACAGTGTGGCTTGGGCTGCCAGCACTGCCACCCGCCCCTGAGCTCTGCGGGCTGTGCTGACCACCAGCTGTCCTCTCTCCCTGCCCCACAGCTGGCACGAGAGCAGGGGATCTCCCCTGCTCAGCCCTGGAGCTGAGGGTGAGCACAGAGAAACCGGCACCGACCCCAGCGCCTGTGCCGAAGCCAGCTCCGCGCTTGCCAGGGTGAGATGGGGATCTCTTGTGCTTTGGGTTGTTTTGGTCTCCCCAGCCCCCTTGGCCCTTCAATGCTACTTCTGCTGGGCACATTCAGAAGGTCCTGAGATGAAAGGCGGGATCAGCTTGAGACCCTTAGTCCCCACAAAGGAGGCTTTCCCCCTAAAGAGCACATGAGATTTGCTCTTGGATTCCCCCATGTGGATTTTCCTACGTTGTTTCTTGCCATGCCCATTGATGTTGAGCCGGGGTCATCTTATGCTCACCCAGCTCCTCTCCTGGTTCCTTTTTACCAGCAGCTTTGGGCTGAGCAGGCTGTAACTTCTCATATATGCTCTTACCTCCTTCCAGCCCACAAAAGCTGCCGGTCTGCATTGCAGAGATCTGCCCTATCTTGACTCCCAGGACGGGGAAATGACCCGGTTGTGGGAGAACACTTTGAGATCGGGCAAACGGGACATGATGAGCTACGTGGGCCACAAAGAGGAGGTGCGGCTGCGAGCCTCGCAGGCAGACAGACCCAGGTGGGCTCAGCCCGCTCCCCCTGGATCCTGGGTGAGAACTGAGGCCCAGGGCTTTAGGAAAGAAATCTGCCCGCTGAAAGCAGGTACACTTGGCTTGCTCCCGTGTGAGATCCTAGTTCTGGTTTGCTTTCCACCCAGGGGTCTCTGAAGTTCATGGCAGATCTTTATTTAGATTTAGCATCTCTTTACTTATTCCTGGTCCCAGGAAGCATTCAGCACCTCCACAGGTACTATACGTAGGGATGAGGTCCAGAGTCCATAAGGTGGCGTCTCTGTGTGTGCTGACCATGAACCATGTGTCTCGAGGATGTTCTCTGTCTGCATGGTTTGATGTGCCCTTGGTTCACAGTGCTGTGTCCCAGCCCTCCAACCCCACCTGGAGGGAGTCTGGGTTTTATCTCTGCCCTCCTGGACCGTTTCTAGCTCTCCTACGAAGACCTGCTTTGCCGTGGATGTGGTGGCATCCCGCGTCGCTTGTGCCTTCCCCAGTAACGGCCTTCTCCCCGTCCCAGAGCATCGTCCCGCCAGCCAGAAGCCCAAGGAGAGCTGGCCGAAGCACCGCATAGAGAGTGGCTATTTCTCCCTGGAGCAGCGGAAAACCAACCCTTCCCAGGCATCCTCC